TGTTATTTCTCTGTGGTGCCCTGTGCCCATAACTTGGAGGCTGATGTGTGGACATTTACTTGGGAAAGAGTTCTTTGGAGTCTACCTCATCAAGACATATGCAGCTGTTTTAGCTTTTAATCAGAATGATCTTCTTAAAAGTACAAAGTGTAGCTGTTTAAAAAGGCAGATATAAATGCATTACACCAAATCATGCTTATGGTGTTTAAATCCCAAATTACTTTGTAAGTCGATCAAAGGTTGACCTATTTCTCTTAGTGGAAAACCCTCAGAAAAATCTTGGGAGTTAGTAGTCAAGCTAGTGTATCGGGGATGTAGCTCCGTAGCAGAGCCCTGGCCCACCGTGTGAAGTTCTGGGTTCTGTCCCTGGCACCAATTGATCCCCAACCCCAGAAAAAATAGTGTATCAGTTCTAAAGCTCACTGATTTGTGTTTATTTTAATAAATCCTCCTACATACAGAGTGCACAACTACAAAATATTTAAAGCACAGAAAAGTAAAATTGCTTCTCTGTTCAGGACCTACACAGTAAAAATTGTCATTCATATATAACAAACGATTTTATTTAAAAATGTTAAGTACACAGGATTGCTGCTATTTCTTGGAAAGGTCTTGGTACATTAAAAATAGTCTGAGTCAGGATACCCAGGACAATGGTATCTGTTTATATGTGTGAATACACTTGGTTTAATTAGTTTTTCTAAAACAATGAAAATGTGTCATTGGAATTGTAGGGAACCAGGCAGCTGAGATTTGGAAATAGCGTGTGGCCATGCGAAGCGCTTGTATCTGGGGTGGTAGACGCGTTGTCCACAGTATTCACCTGTCTTTTATACCTCTGGGGCTCTGTTGGAGTTCTAAAGGCTTTCTGTGACTGATTTGTGTGGGCATTCCACGGATGAAGTCGCCCCTTTTTCTGGGCATCTAATGAGCATTTACACACATGCGCTTTGTAGATAAACTTCCAAGAAACTTGCTCCCCCGTTTGCCTGCTGTGTGTGGCACTGGGCGTGGTTGGCTTTGTAGTTGGAGCAGCTTCTCCATCAGGCTGGCCAAGGGCGTGGCTCACCTTCTCCCCGCCTTCCTGCGCGCCCCGCCTTCAGTTAAAGTTCACCCGCTGGGGTGCAGTGCAGCGAGACCAGTTGATACCACCAGGCCCTGGAGCAGGGCCCACTTCTGGGAAAGGTCTTGGTACGTTGAGAAACAGTCCGAGACAACCTAGGACAATGGTATCTGTTTATCTATCTGAATGCACTTGGTTTAATTAGTTTTACTAAAACATTGAAAATGTGTCATTAGAATTACGGGAAGCCCAGCAGCCCAGGCTTGGAAGCAGTGTGTAGACATGCGTGGCACTCGTAACTGGTGGCAGATGTGTCGTCCACGGTGTTTATCTGCCCGGCAAGAGGAAATCAAGGCTAGCACTGCTGTGAGATACCCACTGCCAGGGCAACGGGCAGCTGCCGACGTGAGGACTCTCGCTGTGAAGGGAGCCTCGTGTCTCCTAGGAGTCTGCGTGTGGCAGCTCCTTTGACCGGCTCTACGGTGGCTGCTTCAGGACGTCCTCTGAGGAGGGCTAGTCTGTTTACTGTGCTGCTGTGCTGTCAGTGTCTGTTATGGTAGCTGCTCTGTGGCTGTCTCTGTTAGCAGTGCTGGTGACCAGTCCTGGTCTCTCATCCCCACTCTTAGCTAAGACTTGGGGCTGCTGAGGCCACAGTTAGTGCTGCTTTCCTGCCGGCGTGTGTACCTATGCACTGGACACAGGCTAAGTAGGGCTAGCCGTGCGCTCGGCATCTTGGGAAATGCTCATCTCAGAACGCTTGCTCACCTGGGTACTGCAGTCCTAGGTAGCCTTGGGAAGCAGTGGGAAGAAGCCAGGTAGGGTTGAGGTCCCTTCAGATCACACCCTCCCGGGAAGTTGGCCGTGTGGAAACACCCGGGCATGATCGAGGCTGGCTCAGCAGAGAGCAAGCTTGACTCACTGGCATAAAGCTCTGCTTAAGCCTCAGGCCAGGACACCCCCGCCACGTGTTGGGCAGCTCCCCTGGTGCTGGACACCTGCACCTGGAGGGGGAGGGTTTGGCTCAGGAGTTTCAGTCTGTGGCTGGCTCCAAGGTGTATGGTACGGCAAAGGCTGTGGAGGGACGGAGCTGCCTAAGAATCAAGGCACCTGGGAAGCCAAGCGGGGGGAGAGATGCACCTGAAAGGTAATGCTGCACCCCCAGCAGCGCCTTGCAGAGGTCCCCAGTTCATACACTCCTGGGAACAGTGCCCCCAGAGGCAGTGGCCATTGCAGGCATCTCTGTCCAGCCAAGCTGACAAGGGTCAGATTCACCGCTAGTAATAAGGACCAAGGTGTAGTCAGGTGTTCCTGGAGGGCGCTTGTTCTTGACTCCTAGGTTAACATAATGGTTACTTGTCCCGTCTCACCTGGGACCTCTGTACCTGCAGAACCATCAGCAGTGCTCAGAGCCAGCACAGTTACAGATGGCAGAAGACATTTAAGATATGTACTGAAAATGGCCAGAATATGCCCTGCGCACGTACAGATCTGCCAGAACGAAACCCACCCACCAACTTTGCTCTGAGAGGAAATACTGCCTGCATGAAGAGATGTTAAACAAAGTTCTCAGCCTTTCAGGCTCTCCAGGAGCAGGGGCAGCATTTTCCATCTGTGAGACCCTCGTGGGCAAAGCACCTTGGCCTGGAGCACTTGGTGGAACGTGGGGCACTGCCTCTTCTTCCTCTGGTCACCTGCAGCTGTGTTTTCTTCTCTCATTCTTTCCCTTTGCCCTTCCCTGCATTGGAGCTGTCTCTGTGTCCAGCGAGGGTTGGGGTAGTCTGTCACCCCCTGGTCCCTGGACCCCAGCTCTGCCTGTGTTCCCAGGGTTGCTGCGCCACATCCTTGGGAACAGCTGGGCCACTTCTTGTCTGCCACTGGATGCTGCTCTCAGTTAGGTGCTTGGGGAAGACTCCTACGAGGGGTCGGCTTTCCTGTCTTCCTAGAGTCTGTGGCCATGCTTGACCCAACCTGGGCTTCCGTGAGTATGCAGGCTGAATGAAAGAAAGGGATGAAGTGAATGTATCCACAGTTAGATCATCTTTGACAGAGTGCAGTTTTATTTTAATTTTAAAATGCACAATGTGGCGCTGTGGAATCCACACAGACAGCGGCGCCGTTGCGGGGAGGCAGATCAACACACCCACCCTGTTGCTGTTACTCTTCTTCCCTTTGCTTTTGATATGAAGCAAGAGATCTGCTGCTGCTCAGTTGGCCTGTGGCTGCAGCCGGCTGACCCAGACAAACCCCCGTGCAGTCTGGTTCTGTTCATCGTCACAAGAGCCCCTAGGCTCATTGGTGCAGAGCAGCCTCAGGCTCTGTGTTTGGAGGGATACCAAATGAGAACTGGGTGCAGGGATACCGGGTTGACCTGGTGACACTGCCCTGAGGCCCAGGGACATAAAGATGACCGGAAGTTGGGAGGGAGACCTGCTGCAGATGGGACAGGAACCGAGGGAGGGTGTGCGGGCGGGCAGCAGGGAGGGGGAAGGAGCCACCTTCCCTGACAGGTGCAGGGTTCCCGCACCTGCTCCACACAGGGCATGTGACCACTGAGCATAACAATTGTGTACAAATAAAAAGTAAAAATTGAGAAAAATCAAAAGGAAAGTGATGTTTCCAGAGATAGAGCACTAAAGGTTAGGTGCCTGGTTATATAAATTACCCCAAAGCCAACAGGGCCAGAAGCAAATTCAGTCAGGCTTTGTAGTGAAATAATCCCAAAGGCCTGTGAAGCAGAGCTCCTGCCAGGGGCTGTCCCTTCCCAGGGTGGCACCCTGTGGTGTTGCCATAGCACGAGGGGCTCTGGGCTTAGGGTGTGAAGGAGAAGCAAAACTCTGGGGGCAAGTGAAACAAAGATTAAATAATAGCGTCTGCTGATACTGTCTTCACAACATATAACTATACAACTTCAAAATAATGAGCCATTGAAAATTTTGTTTAAATAAGTAATATGTGGGTTATGAAATGCAGGTGGAACCGAGAGTGTGGAGACCCTCCTGGCTCCCCAAGTATTCCCAGGTAGCGCCATGCCCCTACTTCAGTCTGGGCTGTACTGTGTCTTGCCTCAGCGATACTCAGCGGCATCAATGGATTGCCAGTCAGCGTATAGAATGAGGAGAAACTCAGCCTGGTAGCACCCCTCCCCCTACCAATATCTTGTGACAAGCTGTTCTTAGTTCTTTTGTTGATCAGTGCTGAAAGCTTTGCTTATATACCTGAGTCTGTCCTTTGGGAACCTCAGTCTTGACGCTGCAGTGCGATGGTGCGATGCTGAGATGGTGCTGCTCGCGCCCCTCCGCCCTCCTCCTTCTGCTCCTGCCGGGCTTGATGCTGTCTCTCCACCTTCTCCGTAACATGCAAGGGAGCTGGGGTGAAGCTCAGAGCCGCTGCCTCCCACCCTCGGGGCTCAGTGCGTAGCCCTTCCCTGAACGCTGGCTGCACGCCCACTCTCTGCCAGCTGCCCTGTGCAGGCTTTAGGAATCCCGAAAGAGCTAATGATGGTGCACATCGTGCTGCACGCTCGAGACAGATACTAGGTCTGGGGGCAGAAGTATGCAAAGAAGGTGCGCTCTAGCTGTCTGCCACCCCACAGGCCAGAGGTCAGTGAGGCCGCTGCCACCATTTAACTTCAATGTGTTGGAAGGACAGTGCTTCACTTGACTCGCTGACACCTGTTTAAGAAACAAGTCAGGCTGTGTTAATGTGTGAAAGTAAACGGTCCGTCTTAGATGAAATATGGCCGCAGGATGGGTTGTGGTTATAAGGTGCATAGTGCGTACTGCTGCATGCATTCCACAGGTCTGCTGTGAGAGGATTGCTGTGTCCCTTAGCTGCCCCTGGGGTTTGCTGGGCGTTGTCACGTCAGTCTGCGGCTGGTGCCTGCTTTGGAGACCCTTTGTGTAGTGACTTACAAACATTCTGTTTCTCCCTCCTTCAGATTTTCATCACTGTGAACTGTCTGAGCACAGACTTCTCCTCCCAAAAAGGGGTGAAAGGACTTCCTTTGATGATTCAGATTGATACCTACAGTTATAATAATCGCAGCAATAAACCCATTCATAGGGCGTATTGCCAGATCAAGGTCTTCTGTGACAAAGTAAGTAATGATGACAGCTTGTCCTAAAGATGTCTTTGTTGTTAGATGCTGCTGCTAATGACATTCCCTCCACCTTCTTTTGTCCTGGGGTGTCAGCATAATGGATTCATCAATTAGTGGGGATCTTTTGTTCTCAGTTCTTGTGAGATATCTAGGAGTCACTGGTCAACTAACTTCTTCTCTCCCTCCCTCCCTCCCTGCTCCCTTCTTTCCTTTCTAAATAGCCTTACAGTTTATGCCGTGGCTGATGGGCATCAGCGTGTGTTCTGGTCAGCTTAGGCTGCTGTAGTAGAACAGCACAGACTGGGCGTCTGGAACAACAGAACTGTACTCCACATACTCCACATATGCTGCCTCGTTCAGTTCCTGGTGAATCTCCTTTTCCCCTGGCGCCATCTTCCTCTGGTGTCCTCCAGTGATGGAGTGTGTCTCTCTGTGAGGGCTCTAATCAGATCCTCAGGGCCCCTCCCACACAACCTCACCTAAACTGCAAGTCCCACCTGCGAATGTTATCCCCTTAGGGATTGGAGTTGCAACATATGAATTTTGGGCAGGGACACAAACATTAATCTATAACTGTACTGTAGTCTGACTCAGTTTGATAGCTGAAGTAACAGGTTTAGCAGGACGTTGATGCTGTCCCAGAGCACAACCGCATTCCTTTTATGATTGTGTGAGTTAAAGGAGGCCCAAGCTAGAGCCTCTGTGGTGGAAGCTGCATCTATGAGCTCCTCAGTGCGCACACATGCTGAACGTGTGCCTCCACTCACCCTCGTGCTGCCTCGGTGCGAAGCTTAAAGCACACATGTGGATGGCAGGAGCGCCTCACAGCCCCAGTGGGATGCAGCCAGGAGCTGCTAGCCTCACCCCTGAACTCTGGGGGCTGCTGGTCGCGAGGTCACCTGATACAGAATTCCCAGGCAGCCGCAGGAGGGAGCCCAGTGGCCTTCTGACAGCAGCTTGGAGCCCAGGGAGTGCAGATGCTGAAATGGATTGTTCTCTGTGAAAAGCTAAAAGCTGAAGATCTGTTTTTGGTTTTTTTTTTTTTTTTTTTTTTTTTTTAAATGTATTTGGTTGGTGCAGGGTCTCACTACACAGCTCAGACTCGTCGTAACCCTCCTACTTTCAGTCCCCAGCGCTAGGATTTCAGGAGTGTGCCACTATGCCCAGACTGCGGCTAGCTCAGAGTGCCAGTTTGGGGCTAGTGTGGCCTGTGGTGCCAGGGATCGAATCCAGTCCCTGTGCTTGCCTAAGATTGCCTAAGCAGGGACCGGGAATATAGCTCAGCAGCGTGAGCGCCTGCCTGGCAAGTGCAAGGTCTTGAGTTCAATCCCTGGTACTGCCAAAAAAAAAAAAAAATTGCCTAAGCAAGTACTGTACTCCACTGAGCTACCTCACCGGCCCTGAAGATCTGCTTTTGAGGACAAAACCTATCTCTGGGAGAACTGTGGCATGTAGAATCAAGTTGAGTTGAGGAACAAGGTGGAAAAGGAAAGAGAAAGTTAAAATAAGAATGAAGATGAGAAGAGACAGTAGGAGGATCTTAGAAAATAGAGTTGTTATTATGTCACCTTATGAACCCACCACCAGAGGGAGCAGGGGAGCAGGGGGAGCAGCTGTCCTGCCTGCTCATTACACTTAAAGTTAGACCAAAACCTAAGAAAGGATTTAGGCCCCAGAATATGCCTAAGGAAAAGGAGGTTAAGGCCTGCCTAACTTCTCTATGGACAGTGAGGATACACAAAGGCAGGAACCAGAATGGGAAGCTGTGGTCCTCTGTTTCAAAACTGGACAAATAAAATTTTTTAAATGACCAAAATTGTGAGGACCGAAATAAAGCACAACTTGAAAGTCTCACCCATATGGTGTTTCAAGAATACAGTGACTTCACAAGAAGTGAATTGGGGGAATAAAAGTTTGTACTAATGTTGTTTAGACAAGATATCATGTCTGCATCTTGTCCTCTAAATAACTACTACAAAGACAAAAATACGCAAGGTATTAATTAGTGTAAATGTCCTGCTAACCTGTTTGTCTTTTTTTCTCATTAAAATGAATAAAAATTTTTTAAACATATAGAAAGCAAAAAAAGGTGAATTAGAACTCAGGATTTAGAAATAAAAGATTAAAATATTTCAGAAGACGCAAGATGCAACTCTGAGGTGAACAAATACGACATAAGTTCTCAAGAAAAGACGAGTTGGAAACAATGATTTATTTATTTATTTTTATTTATTTATTTATTTATTTTTGTGGAACTGGGGATTGAACTCAGGCCCTTTCGCTCGCTAGGCAAGCACTTGTTCTACTGAGCCATCTCCCCAACCCCAGAAACAGTGATTTTTAAAATCAGGAAAAATGAAGAAAGAGATGTGAGAGAAAATCATAGATACCGAAGACAGGTAAAGAGGAACCAATCACACAGGATGGAAGTCTGTAAGCGAAAGCCCAAGACAGTGCAGTAGAACAAATGCCAAAAGTGAGAGATTAGGAAATCTTGAAGTGGAAACTACACCTGAGGAAGTGGTCCTCATGGGAACTTACTCAGACAGCTCTTAGGAAGTAGTTAAGCTATCAGATGTGGGCATCTAAATAAAACAGTTAGTGAGTAATAAGGAAACTTGCATCAAACTTTCAGTGACAGCACTGCGTCAGAAGACAGTATATTTGATTGGGTAAATAAATGTGACCAAGGATTTTATATCCAAGAGTAAAGAATGTTTTCTGTCCATCCCAGTTAGAGTGTCTGGAATAAAGTAAGGGAATTCAGATTGTTTAGTGCCCTCCCATTTGTGTGCCTGTTAATTCTGTGTTGTACATTACCTAGAAGTGATTGCTTTCTTTTCAAGTGTAAAATCCAGGAACAAAAAATCAAACAACAAAACCCTTGAAAATCCAGTGAGTGTTCCCTCGTGAGAATCAGCTCCAGACAGAGACCCTGTATGACAGTGGTGCGGTACACGTGTCCCTCCAAGTCACATGCTGAGTGGTGGGCGACCCAGAGACCAAGGCTGCAGGGAGGACGGCTATCTGAGATCTGGATGCAGCCAGCTGCCTGCGGCACGGCTCTGAGTACAGCTGGCTGGGAGGCAGGGCTCACTGCCCTGGCCCCTACTGTCTGAGGGGTCACACCCTGCGTCCCAGCCTGCAGGGCCATTGAGATGTCTCCACGTCAGGTTGCCGCAGTTGACAGGTAGGGAGCAGTGGGTCTCACAATGAGAACAGTGACAGCTGGAAGCGGAAATGAGAGGACGGCCAAACAACACACAGGCTCATGGCCACCACCCCTAAATCATACCATTCAGACTGTGACAACTTCAGTTGGTGCCATGTAGCCGTTGCTCAGAGCAGCACTGCAATCTGAGAGACAGTGTGGCGTTACCTGGACACAGCAGGACACACAGTACACACCATGGTCACACATACTGCTGCGGGTCAGAGCCACACTACAAGCAGCAGAGCCTGATGCAGGTACAGGCTGGTTCTGAGCTCGAACGCCATGCACAGACAGATGATGAGATGCACAGAATATCAAAGTGGGTACCTGGTGTTTTAGCACCCCCACAAATAATCAAGTAGCTTTCAAAAAGAAAATAATCAACTTGTGTCTTTAATTTAGCACGTTAAACATTGAAAAACATCTTCAAGCCCCCTCAGTGGTGCATATCTGTCGCCTCAGCTGCTGGGGAACCCAATGCTGAAGGGTCACAAGGTTGAGCCCCGCCTGGGCAACAGAGCAAGACCCTATCTCAGATAGAAAGCAACAAAACAAAACAAAAACAGGAAAAGAAAGAATGAGCACATTTTCAATTCACATACAGCATAGAATTGTCAGGTGTACAAATGGGAGAGCATATTAGTGACTTGAACTCCACTGTAGGCAGTTCAAGGGAGATGATAGCATTCCTGTCAAGGATTTATCCAGGGGGAGGAGAAAGAGAAGGAAAGCTGGCAGAGGGCAGTTGGACATCCCGTTGTGTTGGCAGAGCAGAAGAGGAGGCCTGAAGGCCACTCACGGAGCTGTCCTATCCTGTAGTGTTGATGCACTGAACGCTGACGAGTGTAAGACGCCCACCTCGGCAGAGTGAGAGGAGAGTCCTGCGGGAGGTGGTCCTGCATGCCTTAGAGTAACGGGCTGGAAGGCGCTGGGAGGGTGAATAAAAGCGTGGGTTGCACCTTGTGGAACTGGGGATTCAACCCAGAACCCCATACATACTGGCCAAGCACTTTGCTCCCAAGCCATACCCCCAGCACCCTGGAAATTAAAGGAGGAGAGATTTAGCCCACAGTTTATAGAGGTTTCAGTCCATTATTGGCTGGCTCCAAGGGGGTGGCACATGGCAGAGGGGCTTCATGGAGGACAAACAGTTTGTGGTTGCAGAAAGTAGCAAAGCAAGCAAGGGACAAGACGGGCCGCCTCCTATCCCTGGCATCATAGCCAGGCTACCGAGACCAAAGCGGTGACAGAACCATCACACATCCACAATCTGAGCTCCCTGATCAGAGCGTGGCAGCCTGAATCAGTCACATATTCTAGGTCCAGCCACCTCTCAAAGTCCCACCTGTTACTGCACGACGTTCAGGGGAGACCTCTAGACACAAGCCTCAAAAGAAGAGAAAGATTGAGAAAGAGGGCCATGTAGGTTTCCCCAACGCGTTGCTTCCTGAAGTCGTGCTAGGAGGGTGACCGCCAGCCAGGAGAGAAGTAATTGGGAGACCCACGCACCTTTATTTATTTATTTATTTATTTATTTTTGGTACTGGGAATTGAACTCAGGACGTTGTACTTGCCAGGCAGGTGCTTGTGCTGCTGGGCTACATCTGTGGCCCTGAGAACCACTTACTTACATGGGCATGTCGGTAAACATGTATAAAAACCCAAAAAGAATCATGTTATCATACTTTGCCAAGCAGAAGATGAGTGGCATTTCTAATAATTCCTATTGGAAATATCAGTCTAATAAATATCACCACTAAGTAGAAGAAAATGGTGGAGATCGCTGGGCAAATGACTGGCATTTATTTCAAGAAAATAGATGTAGGGTTCCTAGTGGGCGCCTGGATGGTAAAGGTGAAAAGAGAAGGAAGCCTGCGTGGGCGGAAATCTGGACTGTGCAGGCGGATTGACACAGTGGCTGTCACTTTCTCTGATAGTCACATCTTTTGCTGTAGCTTGTTGTTTGCAGCTCTAATTTGCAAATTTGGGCAAAATTCTCTTGTAGGGAATTGAAAACCCAAATATCAGTTCTATTTTTATACTTTTAAAATGATATGTAAGTGTAAATGCTTAAGTTGAATTATCCTCTAAAGCAAAAGTAGTTGTTCCATTTTAAAGTTGTAAGTTTCCCTATCAAGGTCTAGTATCTTAAACAGATGAAATGCTGCAGTATTTTGAGTTCTCTGGTCTGATTCATGTTTTATACACCTGCGAGCCGCCAGATGAAAAATACAGGTGCTCTCTAACTTGTTTGGTGCCCTGAGACTGCTAGTGAAGGGCATGTGCTTGTGCATTAAAACTCAGGATTCACCTAACCGTATAGACAATACCTGTGTGTGCGTCTTGATCTCTGTATTTGATTGCTTCTGTAATCTTCCATGAAAAGTAAGAATTCTTGCAAACAGTAACTACGTCCTCCACAAAACTTTAAATAAAATAAAAGTTTAAATGTTAGATAAAAGGCACATATTGCTATCACCTCTGTCTGGGCAAAAGTGATCACAATATATAGCAGGAACTTGTTTTGTTTTCCTGGAGGCTGGCCAGGGTCTTGCTGTGTAGTTCAGGCTGCCCTGGAACTCACTGTGTAGCCCTTCAAGCTGACCTTGAACTCAGGCATCCCTCCTGCCTCGGCCTCCTGAGTGCCGGAGTTACGGTGCACGCTCACACCCAGCTCAACAGGAACTCTTGAGGTTTATTTTTCAGATGTAGCACTGCATAGTGAATGAATTGGAGTGAGCAGTATCCTGTCCATTGATGGCTTTGATCTTTGTAGTAAATTATATTCTTCTGAGAGAACTAGACCTTGAGGAGCTTTTATAAGAGTACAAGTAATATTTTGTAGAGGCTTGGTGTCACAAATGAGGACCTAGGAAGGAAAGGAATTCTTCGGAGGTCTTGATGCAGGGAGGCGTTCTCCATCCTAACAGTACGTAGTAAAGCATCCCTGAGTCATTGTGAAGTCTAAAGCTTTGTTTTAGAACCGAGCTGGGTTCCCCAAGTGCAGATACTGTCTGCATTGTTTCCCTGATCCCTGGCTCTGAGCAAGAAAGTTCTGCACACAAGTTGCACCTGCTGTGCATGCAGCAGGTGCCCATGCTAGGTTTGGCATTAGGCAGCGTGCACGTAATGAGTGGGTGGCTTTATGTCCTAAAAATCTGTAGGAAGCATATATACATATTGAAACAGATGAATTTCAGATGCATTCATCACAGAATAATACAGTTGCTTGACCAGCCTTGAAGCTGATCATAAACAGAAAATAAAGACCCATGTTTTTATTTGTAGAAAATAGTGTGTTGTGCAGAGTTCTCAAGGGTCCCTGTGAACTCAGGCCCCTCGCCCATGGCTTAGCGCCCCAGCATGTTATCGAAACATACACACTACAGAATTACATCGTAAGGTGATTTCAAAAGCACGTATTTCTATATTCTATCTCCATCTTGCTATCAAATTTCCATGAACTGTGTCAGTAACAACTTGAAGTGAAGCACTATAAAATAACTACTTCCTTTGGCAGTAAGTATACCAGTTACTTTCCTTGATGATTTTTTTTTTAAATAAAAATGCGTATTTGCTGTGCATGGTGGCACTCACCTGGCCATCCCAACATTGGGAATCTGAAGCTGGAGGATTGCAGGTTTGAACTCAACCTGGCAACCCGGCTGTTTACCAAGATAGTGTTTCAAAATAAAAATGAAAAGGGCTGAAGGTATAGCTGAGAATGAGAGCTCCAAATTCAATCCCCATTGCTGCAAAAACAAAAAGCATGTGTAAGTTATCTGGCCAGCATATCTTAATTATCCACTAGAAAACACTGGACATAGAGTAAGTGCCAGGTAAGTAAGGAAAGCGTTATCATAAATTCTTTGATAATTAGTGCAAAAGCTGTGTCCTATTGATTCCAAACCCCACTGTGTTTTGGGTTCGCCCAGCTGAAGTTGGGAATCTGTATTCTTGGAGAAGCCAATCTAATTACCCACAAGTCACCTCACTGTCTTTTTTCTTTTCTGTATTTAGGACAGGGTCTACAGGGTCTTGCTACGTAGATCGGACTCAGTGGTTTTCAGGCTTCCAAGTGCTGAGATTGAGGGTGTGCCACCATGCCGTCTCAGCGCGCCCCAAGGGTGGGACTGGCACAGCACACCGGGGATTGAACCCCAGCCTCTGCGCTCTGCCTGAGCAGGCGCTTTACTCCGCTTAGCTATCAGGCCAGCCCATTTATTTATTTTTCACTGTCTTAATTCAAACTACTATATGTGTTCTGTGGGACTTCCCTGTCTCCTGCCCCCACCATTTCCTTTTTTTTTTTTTTATTTTTTTTTTGGCAGAACCAGGGATTGAACTCAGGACCTTGTGCCTGCCAGGCAAGCGCTATATTCTACTGAGCTCTCTCCCAGCTCCACCCCCACCATTTCCAATGAGTGTGTTAGCTCTAAATTCAATTCATTATACATTTAGAATTGGACACTTTAGGTGATATTTTATTGCAAGTATTTCCATCAATCCCATTTGCACACGTTTGGGTTGTTTTTTTTTTTTATAATTATTTTATTTATTTATTTATTTATTTATTTATTTTTTGTGTGTGGCCAGCTCAGCCCACCAGGGGGCGGGCAGGCTGGCATGTGGTGCTGGGGGATTGAACCGCGGTCCCTGTGCTTTGCTTGGCTTAGCTTGTTCTAAGTAGGTGCTTTAGACCACTGAGCCATCTCACCAGCCCTCACGTTTGGGTTTTTATGCCTGTTTTGTTCTGTTTTTTGCACGCACGAGATTAACTTTTTACATCGGCAATCTCCCTTCTGCAGGTGATGTTTTGAGGGTAGTTTTTAAAGGCACAGGGGTGCTGGCTGGTCCGGGCTTCCCGGCTCCTTAAATCTGGTGCTGCTGGGGCTGGAGCGGAGTGGGACCTGGCCTTAGGGAAGGAGCAGGCGCATCCGTCCCTATGGCTGTCGCCTGCTCAGGCCTTAGGCAAACACAATGCCGATGAGCCCTTGCGAAGTAGCCACAGAGGGAGAACACCAGCACTGTGCTGCAGCTCGGTTTCTGGGATGTGAAAGGGCAAATGAGTTGGCCTGTGACCAACAGGAGAAGCCAGCCAGGAGTTGCCGCAGGCCGGCAGGAAAGAGCTGTAAGGTGACAGTCCGGTGGGCAGGGCGAGATTTGGTGATTTGGCCAGAAGACAGAATGGGAAAGTCACATCCCAGAGAGCAAAGGCACAAAGAAGGAGCGGACAGAGGGTGCTTTTTTCTGTCTGGTGGCTTCTGCCCTGTCTGAGGGGGTGAAAATACCGACCCAGAGACTAGGAGTGCAGGCGCGCACAGAGGCCCTGACTGTCCTTGTGCCAGCCCTGGAGGGAGGAGGAGGACTGCTGATTGTGCGGTTGTGCTCATTCTTTAACATTCGTAAGCGTGATGGAAACTTTCAGAGGTCGGTCACATGAAGCTGAAGCCTCTCCCTGCCTGCAAGTGCGTGATAATCACTGACGTGACTTGGGGCTCCCCATGCTCGCGGTCTGGGCCTGGGCTTTCTGTGTGGGCTCAGTGCTGAAGCTCTTCAATTAGGCAAGATAAGAAAAAAGGAAACTCTTTGGATGGCGTGGGATCACCCCCGGGTCAGGAGGGCAGCGCAGGCCCCAGCATGCTCGGCTTCTAGAATCAAAGTCCGGGCTTTTGGAGGGTAAAGGTGGAGCTTCCCATCCCGAGGGGTGTGTGTGTGTGTGTGTGTGTGTGTGTGCATGACAGTGTTCCTGTGTGTTCTGATAACATGCCCAGCGTGGTCTGTGTTTGTTTTCCCTGACAGGGTGCAGAAAGAAAAATCCGAGATGAAGAGAGGAAGCAAAACAGGAAGAAGGGGAAAGGCCAGGCCCCCCAAGCCCCGTGTAGCAACTGTGAGTTTGCCCAAGGCTGACTGCTATGTGGGAGCCTCCCGGGGGGCGGGGGAGGTGCCTGGGGACCAAGATGGGAAGTGGGGGGCACAAGCATGCAGGCAGGGCTTACAGGTGCTGGGGTGATTGTCCCTGTGGGGAGAGAGAAAACAGAATCCCATGAGCCTGGTGAGGCTAGGGTAGGTGATATCTTGCAATATGGAGACCATCGTCCTCCAGGGACCGACTGGGACTGGGTTGGTGACACACAGGACAGAGGATGAGAGTGAGGGCCCAGGCAGCAAGCCCATGCTCCTCCTGTTCCCTGGGGGCCGGGGGTCCTTTAAAATGTGACCCTGTCTGTGTGTTTGGAGAGCTTGGTAGGAGAGGCCTGAGCTTTCTCTGAGACAGGGCTGATAGTTGTGAGTTCTCAGTCATGCGTAACCCTGTCGTTTATGGGTTTTGTGGTCGCGTCCAGCCTCTGATGGGAAGTTGGCCGCCATACCTTTACAGAAGAAGAGTGACATCACCTACTTCAAGACCATGCCCGACCTGCACTCGCAGCCCGTGCTCTTCATACCCGACGTTCACTTCGCAAACCTGCAGAGGACCGGACAGGTACAGTCTCCTCACCACGCCCATGTGCCCCTGGGGGCAGGAGCAAAACCACTGTCCCTTCAGGAGAGGAAAGGGCGGTAGCCATTCCCTGTCACGGAAAAGAGTGCCTGGGAGATGATAACGACGGACGGTGGAAGAGGGAAGGAAGGCCCATTTCCTGTAAAGACAGGCATTTCCTTGGCTTTGGCGCTTGACTGCGTGGGGTGGGGGGGGGGGGGGGGGCACCTGCACTTGCACCTCAAGGAAGCGGCATGAGGGGAAAACCTGACTAAATCAAGATCCCGCCAGCAATTTTCCTCTTAGAAAATTAACCGTTCCCACTGAATGGTTCAGTCTTTTCTTATCTAAAGACAGGTGAGATTGCAGAAGCCTCTCCCTTTAGCAAACAGAACCAACTCCTGTCTTCGAGGCACATCTACATGTGAAATGAAAGACCTAATATTCACATGAACTCAGTAATCAGCCCACTGTGATAGCTCAGTTTATTTGAATATTTTGTAGCACCTAAATTTTTAATGGTGAAAATATAAATCTAGAAATGAATCTTCCGAGGGAAACTTGCTCTTGGTACTGTGTGCTGGGCCCTGGCCCAGAGGCGTGCACAGCCTTTGTCTACTGCAGCGACTGCAGAGCAGCCTGCCCTTGTGCCCTGGGCCGCCGGGCTAGTGGAGTCCAGTGCTTAGAGGCCGCTGCCCCCGAGAGGGTGTCAAGGGGCACTGCCCTGCACTCTGGCAGTAAGGATCCTGCAGCAGTGCCTGAGCGCTCTGTCACTCCCGTGGCTGACCCACTTGCCAAGCTGGAGGCCAGGCCGGCTGCCTGGGAGCTTACCCAAGGCGGGAGGCAGAGTCAGGGCCAGACCCAGGGTGGGATGGGGATTGCTGGCTTTGTATGCAAACTAAAAGGTGGCCCATGGTGGTAGGTCAAAAGATGGACTGGTTTGTCTGTAGGGGGACAGGGGCACACAGTAGCCAAGCAGGTGTGAGTCCTCCCTGCTCTGTTGTGGCGCCAGAGGCCCCAGCGCTCTCATGGCCAGCAAGGGCCACGCAGAGGGCCCGCTCTAGCTCGTGCGTAGGCTGCGGTACTCTGCAAGTCATCACGGAAAACTCAGGTGGAGGAGCGAGTCCACGGTGTGGGCACCATGGAGCAGGGAGTGCTCTAGCTGCCTTTCTTGCGTGGAGCCTCCAGGCTGTGAGCTGCTCCTATCTGGGGGTCTGCACACAGTGTTAGGCGGTCAGGCAGGGCCAGCTGTACCTTGCAGTCTCCTTGGAGCACCTGGACCAGGAGACTGCACTCCTCACCTTGGGAAAGGCCTCTGGAATCCCGCTTTGCCACAGCCCCCAGGTCCCAGGTGTTCCTGGAAGGATTGGGTCCTCTGCTCCCTCCCACCTGTCACAGTAGAAACACTGAAGTGTTGCTAGGAGCCTGCACTTATAGGTCTCTAGGTAATTTTAGGCACTCTAAAGTTTGAAAACTTACTTAAAAAGTCTTTATTGCATGGCCAGCCAGATAGCTCAGTGGACTAAAGCACCTGCTTAGGCAGAGTACAGGGACTGGGGTTCAATCCCTGGCACCATAAGCCGTGCCAGCCCCATTCCCCAGGGCATGCTGAGACCATGATTGAGACTGGGTGTGGTGGCACTCGCCTGTAATCCCAGCACTTGGGAGGCTGAAAACAGGAGGATCACTACAAGTCTGAGCTGCATAGTGAGACCCTGTACTAAATACATAAAAAAGTCTTCATTGCAATGGGCCCAATGGCAGGCAGGGACAATACAGATGTTCGTCATGTAGGAGGAAGGGAAATGACCATGACAGTGGCGGAAGTACGGAGTGAGCCAGTCAGGAGGGCAGGAAAGGAGCAGTGGCCTGCAAGCTTGGGTCCCCTCGCTGGGGAGCAGCCAGGGGAGATGTGTGATGCTGCTCTTAAGGGAACCACGCAATGCAAGTCACCAGCAGACACGTTTACAAGGCAGTCCAGCCGCGTGGCCGGCAGTGCCGCTGCTGCCTGCACTCTCGTGGGTCTCTCTGTGGCCTCTAGAAGGACAGAAGGACAGCCCCATTTCCCATACATCGTGCGACCGAAGCTCTGGATGCCACTCTGAACCCAGGGTTGGGAAGAGCACAATTTAGCCTCCATTGTTTTCTGTTTAAGAAAAAACAAAACACCCAGTACAGCAGTGTCCACTGAAGTCCCCCAAGAAATCTGGCTGTTCAGTGGAGCACCTCCTCACGGAGGTCCAGGCAGTCAGGCCTGGCACAGCATCTGGAAGCTGTCCTGAGCCTTCGGGAGCAGCCCTGAAGGGATCGGGATCAGAGGCTGTTTCAGGTGACTGAATGTTTAGACCTGGCCCTGAGCACAACCCATAGAATGCCACACCGCTCGCACGTGGGTGGCCAGGAGCAGGCACCTGTCTTGATCGGCTGTGGTTCCATCCATGATAAGGATCTTTGTACTTCCTTTGACTCTGATTCTGGTGCCGCGAGCTGATCACCTGAAGGTATTCGTCCTGCAGATGGTCCTATTGGCCAGGAGTACCTTCCAATGCTAGGCAGATTTCCCAGCCAGAAGAGGACAGAGGTTCCTGATGCCAGGGCCACTTCACACCCTTTGGGGAGAGTTCAGAGAGGGCTGGGGCACTGCTTTCCCTCCGTGGGGCATCTGCCTGTCCCCTCCACAGTAGCATAGTGACTGGTGGCAGCTCTCCTCCACTCAGTGGCATAGGCTACTCACAGACACAGTCACCCTGCATGCCCAAGGCTTCCTAACCCGCTAATTCACATCTGGCTGGCAACAGACTTTCTTAATGTGAGCAGCAAGAATTGGCTCAGGGCGGATCATAATAATCCAATCACACTGCCTTTACCTAGACAGGCACAGACTTCCAATTTTATTTCATTAAAATCTAAGAGGTAACCCCAGGGAGAATGTGAGGAGGTAAATTTTATATTTCTTTAGAAACACAGATGCGCACGCACCCACACTCGACATAATTAAACAGCTTTGTCTTTTGGAGACAGTTTCTCCCCTAGGAAAGTGTGCCTGCCCCTTGGGTAGCGTGCGTCCTTCTCATCTGACTTGAACCTCTTGGTTTGTTCACAGGTGTACTACAACACAGATGAGGAGCGCGAAGGGTAAGGTGTTTCCCTACGAACACACAGTTCCTGCGCCGGTGGCCAAGTGTGGCTCAGCCCGTCTCACTCAGACCCCGCAGGGACCGGTCCCTCTGGGAGGGAGGCTGGCGTGACACCTTACCCCCTCCAGATCTCGCTCCCCCCTAGGGCTGGCTCTTCTTGCCAGCGATGGCATGCTCAGTACCTCTGGGTGGACTGCAGTGCTATAAAGCTGTGTTGTCAGTGTCACCGACTTCTCCCTGCTCTTGACCTCTTCCCTTCAGCTTTCATCCTGTCTCTGGATCAGTGTCACCCTCCCTCAGCAGTTAAATGTCCCTTTCCCCTCTGCAACTGTTAAAGTACAGTTTTACTTCTCAGCATCTTCAGTTCCTCCAGGGATGCTTCTGAGTCTATTAGTAGTCTTTGTTTTTCCCCCAGATTGGAAATCAGACTCAGGACCTTATGCCTGTCAGGCAGGTGCTTCTGCTACTGAGCTATATTCCCAGCCCCACAGTCTCCTTAAGATGGACCTTCTCCTTAAAATTCGTGCATCTGAACCATATGAGTCACAGAATATTTGGGGCTAATTTTTTCTTAAGATCTGAGTGCTTATTTTTCTTCTTTTTCAATGATTTATTTATTTTTATGTATTTAGTACAGGGTCTCACTACATAGATCAGACTTGTAGTGATCCTTCCTGTTTTCTGTCTCCCAAGTGCTGGGATTACAGGCGTGCAGCACCACGCCCAGTCTCACTCACCACTGTGTCCCGGGGGCAGGGCCGGCACAGGTACTCCAGGGATTGAACACCACCTGCTGCATCTGCCTAAGCAGGTGCTTTAGTCCACTGAGCTATCTGGCAGTCCCTTCCATGTTTTTACTTTTGGTATTTATTTTTCAGTCTTTATCCTTGATATGTGGACTGAAATCTGCAGGCTTTCCCCCAGCCCACGGTCAAGCATGGACATCCTTGTTCCTGTGTAACTTACCTGTTTACCTGTGAGACCTCCCCTGGTGCAGGGAGCAGATCATGTAGAGTTAACCTTAGGGCCAGGGTGGCAGCAGACAGCCAGAGGACCACATCGAACTCCTGTCTGCCTTGGAAGAGTCTGAAAACTAAGTGTGGATTTCTTACATTTTAGCCGTTGGAAACACAAAAGAATAATACTGCATGGTGTGTGAAAATTTCAGGAAATCCAAGTGCCCACGGTTTCCCTGAAACTTAGCCACGTTAGTCCTGTGCTGTTTGTGTGCTTGCTTGGTGCTGTTCCAGCAGAGCCGAGTAGTTGGCTAGGCTCTGTAGGAAAAACGGGGGGCTTTCAGCTCCAGGGGAGGGCATCTCGAGGAGTGCAGTGTTTCCAGCCCACTAGGCTGGGGCAGACTCGTGCTCAGGACTGACCCTGAAGCCGCAGGCTCTTCCGCTCCCCCTGGGCTGTCCTCCTCGCCTGGCGTAGAAGCGCTGCCCGGAGCGCTAAGCACGGGCAGTTCTCTTGCTGCCCTCACTGGGCTGTCAGGTGACTGCGTGCGCACCCCAAGCTGGCACTGACTGAAGTCCTGGGCTGACTTTCCCAAAGAGTGATCTGCTGAGAAATTAGTTGAGATTCTGCTCCCACAAATGAAAGACTCGTGAGGACTTGCATAGAAGATGACCTTGTGTTTTCTGCAACTAACGTGGGGCACGAGCCTCCATTAACGTAGGACACTCAACGGCGATTAGTCTTTTCAGGCTGTAAGCAGGAAAATGAGCTCGCTCTCTCTCTGTCTCTCTCTGGGGTGCCTGAAACCCCTTTCTCAATTTGGGGAGCACCTCTGCAGCAGCGTCAGTATTTTTGTCTTGAAACTTAGCACTCCTGCTCACAGCTGAGAACTCCTCTCCCTGCAGGCGGCCCCACAGCCCGTGGCTGTGTGTGCCCCTCCAGGCCATTCTGCACACCCACTGCCTCACGAGACCAGCGGGATGGAGTCTGGTGCTGGGGAGACCAGCTCTTCCTGGTTCTCCAGTCCTTCTGTGCTGTAATGAAACTTAATTTGCCTGGATACCGGGAAACCTACGGTCTGGGCTCTTTCGTCTAGCAGATAGCCACGTCTACCTGCCCTTCCTTTCTGGCCTTACATTGAAAATAAATGAAACCATTGACTTCAGAACACATAAAACATGTTGGCTCCTTCTGGGTTTATAGAATCAAAGGCATAGAAAAGCATACCTAACTCTCACAAGCATGAGATGTATCCCAGATGTTACTTTAATTGCAAGGTCTGTCATAGCTTAGAATGGGCTGCTATCAAAAGTCAATGAGACTGGAAAAAATACAAATAAAGCTTGCTTCGTACATAGCAAGCATAGGAAAGCTCACCCAGCGTAAGATAGTGATGGCATCTCTGGCTGTTGCCCCGTCATTGACCTCCTGGCCTCGGGCTGCTCTGTGAAAAGATTTGCTAATTCTGAGATCAAGGTCACTGTGCCTCCTTAAGGTGACAGCATAATGCCACCTGCTGTCATTACAGTGTGATGAGTGGTAGAGGGAGTAATGCCCTTAAACTGCTTGCCACCTGTGCTGGGACCTAAGTTTTGGACGACTGTCCAGCTGTCTTCCTTGGTTGACACACTAGGCAAGAAGGTAAGAGAATGCTGGCTCTTGCTCTTCCTCAGCTTGGACTCACTGCATAACTCTTATGGGTGGTGCCTCAGAGGTGAGGTCACGGCGGCTCTCCTTAGCTGCTTTGCCCACTGTAGGACCCTTGCCATGCTGAGCCTCCAGTCATCGCTGAGCCAGGATAAAGCCGGGTCCTTGCCCTGGCTGGTTTGCGGTGTCAGGATTCATAAGTGACCCAGGAGACGAAATGTGCTTCATAGAATCTGGGTCTTATGAAGGAGTTTTGTTGGCTGGGTAACCCTTTGGATAAGCTAGAATGTGAGATCAGTTAGGTCACCGTTGGTTTCATCATTTAAGCCACTGACATGAAGCGCAGTATGCTTCAGACTCCCTTTAGTTACCTGCCCGTGCTGTCTTCTCCTGAGCATTAGCGTGACTGAAGAGGTGATAATGCCACCAGGGAGTCACAGGGTTTCACATTATCCGGAATCTTGAGACTGGCCCAGGGTAACCCATCCGTGTGGGGAGCTTTGCGAGTCAGTACTCACACTGGCCCGGAGTGGCAGTCGTGGCGGGGTGCTTGGTGGTGATCCAGGGGATTCTGAGTGTTGCCAGCTGTCCTTCCCGTATGGCTCCTCCCCACAGCTCCGACTTGGCCTCGCCATCGCCGTCTTCATCCAGCTTCTCCGGGGTGTTGGGATGCTTGCGATGCCAGGGAATCCTCAAGTGCCGTGTGTGTCCACTCCGTGCTCATGACAGCCTTTTCCATTTTATTTAGTTAAATTAATTTTTGAATTTTGATGTGGCATATAATGTCTGCATTTACTTCTAAAGTAGGGTATGATAGCATGGTACATATGCAATTACCCAGCCGGGTAATCAGCATTTCCATCTCCTCTGTCTCCTTGTTGCTCTGTTATCAGACATTTTAGACAGGGAAGGAGATTGTGGCCCAGGGAAGTTGAGAAACTTGTCCAAGATCCCACAGCAGTAAATTGTAAAGCAGGGATTAGAAACAAGGTGTGTCCAGCACTCCTGCCTGCACAGTTGTGCTGAACTTCCCCTCTGGCCTTGCTCCTGGGCTCAGGGATCCCCAGGGAGATGAACAGCTGATAAACACCGGCCTGGCCTCCTGTGAGACCCACTAGCAGGAGTCCATGCAGGAGTGTGCTGTCTTCCCCTTCTGTCTTCTTAGTTCTTCTCTTCCTTAGGGTGCCTGGCACAGACAGAAACTCCAGAGGAAATGCAGAGCCATCAGAGCTAGTGCAGTTGAGGTCATGCAGGGCCTCAGTACTGGGTGTCCAGGCAGAGGAGAAGGCCTGGGTCCTGGAGGAGCTCCGAGTGTTGCAGGCTCATCTCTCTAGCCAGAGAGGGAGAGCGGCACGAAGTCAGGACAGCCTGGCCATAGAGTCACAGGGAGGTGGCCTATGTCCCTGCTGTGCCCCAGGGGGCTGGATCGCCAGGCCTCAGCTGCATGTGGGACTGCAGGGACACTGGGCTCACTCCTGCCTCCTCCAGTCCACATCTGAGCAGAAAAGGGGGACAGGCAGAGGCTGCAGTGGGTAGAGCCAGACCACCTCACCTCAGCAGGGTAGAGCAGGTCTTAGTCAGCACCGAGATGGCAGTGAGGGTTCGGCCTCAGGCTGGGAGGCCCCAGGACCTGCAAGGGGGAGGGGAGGTCAACGGTGGGTCTAGCTAGCTGTGGAGGAGAGCGGGGACAGACACATGCATGACTTTGGGTTTGGACCCTTGTCTGCTTTGCTTAAAAGCTTCTGCTGTCTTTTCCAGTAGCAGTGTCCTCGTTAAACGGATGTTCAGACCCATGGAGGAGGAGTTTGGCCCAACACCCACTAAGCAGATGAAAGAAGAAGGCATAAAGCGAGGTACCTCGGGTTGGGACACACATGGGTGTGTGCACAGGGTGGGGGCCCACTGTCTGAGGAGAACGAAGCACAACCAGCCTGGGCGGGGAGCCCGAGCCCCACCCAGTTCTTACTACTAGGGTAGCTCACGGTTGGTCCTCTCCTGCCTTCACCTCTGTCCTTTCCGACACCTTGAATGGACAGCGCCTTCCTGTGTTGCCAAAGTTAGTGATGGCTTGAATCTCTGCTTTCCTGGACATCACTTGCTCCCTCCTTCTGCTTGGATCTTATTCCACCTCCCCAGAGGATCAGAAACAGAGCCCAAAGGCGTCCGCATCTCACCAGCCCCACTGTTCTGGGGACCCTTGTCCTGAGCCGATGCCAACTGGGAGGGCTTCAAGAATTATATTGGGTTGTAATTTAAAGTAAGTCACTGGTCTTGCTAGCTCTGAATCACAGTGACACACCAGGGCACCGTGACCTGCCAGCAGTAAGGGAAGTGGCCCCTGGAAGGTTCTTGCTTGGAGCACCCACTGCACATAGGAGGGAGGCAGACTCTTTGAGTCACGGTCAGCGACAGTTCTTACTCTTTATGTTGGAAGTTCCCCGAGAGAGACGTGCTCAGACCCGTCACCAGAGCTACTGCCGTGGTTGATTTGCCTTCGCAACCACTTGGGTGGTCCATGCCGCTGCTGCCCCCCGGTAATGAGTCCGCTGGCTCTGCCATGCACAGAGCGGATGGAACTGGCTTCCTGGAAACGCCTAGCACTCCAAACCAGCCGCCCACAGGTGCCTGTGGGGAAGCCGAGGGACTGTCCCTGGTGGCCCTCCTCCCCTCCCCTTCTGTGGAAGATCACCCCTGGCCCTTGCCAGCCACCATGGAAGCGAGGGGCAGCGTTGTGTCTGCAAGACAGTTTGTGACTGGAGGGGCAGAGCTGTCTAGGGCAGAGGGTGGGCTTTCCGGGGGAGTGGTGCTGCTGGACTTGAGGGCGTCAGGATTTTCTTCTGTGAGAGCCACCTGGGTTTCTCTTTGACTTTGTTTTCCTCATCTAGATGTAATTGGGGTTCTAGGTTCTACTTATTTTTCCATGTAGTGCTGACATTGTCCCTCTTATAAACCATTCATCTTAGCGGAAATGGAGGCTATAAAATATTCATCCCAGAGGACTAAATTTGGAAATCTTCAGAGATGTTCATTTTATTTATTTAATCAATATTTTTATTTATTTATTTTCACAGCTGATTAATAGGACAATTTTGATAATCAATACACTGTACATTGTTATCTTCTTAGTGGTTATCCATCGTACAAGAAGCAGACAGGATATTCTGTCCAAACACTGTTAGTATACCTCTTTCTTCTCATTGAATTAAGCAAAAGTAGCTGTGAATTTATCCTATTTTGTATATATAAATACAAAATGATCCTTCCTTTGTATCCTTTTTTTTTTTTTGTCCTGTCAGAGGTGAATATTCTATTGGCATCTAAATACTATAGGTATTTGAATTCAACTAAACAATCTAACACTGTCTAGCAGTCTATAATATTAGTGGGTTATCCTCAGAAGTTATTGACTTGAGCCTTTTATAGCTCATCGTATTAATATGGATTTACTTTATATACCTCGTTTTTATACTTTTCTGCTGGATGGTTAAGACCAAGATATAGCAAGACCTATATAACAAGAAATGTAACTTTTGTATCTGATAAGGTCAGCCAAGTACTCTCAGGATTTATCCTGTAGCCCTGTACAACCCTTTGTACATCCTGTTGTCTAATCAGTATTTTTATATCAGATAAAGAGAAAGTAACTACGTAGCCCACAGCCTCCTCCCTCCCCTGGCTGTTCTGCTGTGCCCACTCCCGTCCCAGCTCAGTGACCAGCAGCCCCTGCCCCTGTGTGCCCCAGGAAGCGACACCGTTGGGCACCTGGGCAGGTGGGAGGACGGGATCTGGGACCCATCACCTTGCTTTTCGGTGGGTGGCCATTCCTGCCAAGTTGGAGGCTGACCGGAGCAGGGCTCTCTGACCTGGCGTGTTTCCTGGGGTGACCTCCGCCTTCTCAGAACCAGAAGTCCCACTACCGGGGAGGGGCGGGCAGCGAGTGCGCGCGTGCACCACTGGAAGGACAGACGCTGCCAGGCCGGAGCCTGTATGGGCCTGGGTGTCCAAGCCTCTACCTCCACACCCACCTTCAAGGGTGGCCGGGCCCCCGCCATCCCTCAGCCTGGGCGTGCTCCGGCTCCAAGTGTGATTTCCCAGACCAACTAGTGCCTGCATCCGCTTCGCCAGGGGTCCCAGTGCTTGCCGAGGGCCCGGCCTGCACCAAGCCACGTGGACTTCACCCTTGGGTCCTTCACAGTGCCCCCGTGTGGTGGACCCTTATGTCTAGCTTCACAGGGGACCACTGGGGTGCATGCGCCGAGGTTTTGCTGGTGTCTGCCTGCATTGTGCAGCCCCCTCCTTCCCCTGTTGCCGGCCTGGAAGCCCCTATAACCTCCACAGCTCAGCTCTCTGCTGCTGCAAGGTCGCCTTCCCAGCATGCCCCTCCCCACGGTTCCCTGACAAGGCCGGGACACGTGCGTGGGGGATTCGGGGAGCATCAGTGCCCACCTTGGGGAGCTCCCCATGAACCTGAGTCAGGGCATCTGACAGCCTGGGTGGCCCCGTTTACCTCATGCCCCCGGCCGCAGGCCACGTCCCTCAGCAGGGTCGCGATGTCGCAGGCCCTCTCTACTTGTCTTCCAGTGCTGCTGTACGTGAGGAAGGAGACGGATGATGTGTTCGATGCGCTGATGCTGAAGTCCCCCACGGTCAAAGGCCTGATGGAAGCGGTGAGCCCCCGCCCCTACCTGCTGTTGTCCTCATGCAGGACAGGCAGTCACTTGGGTGACCCCAGAACGGACACTTGAGGAAGCGGGAGCCTGGGCTCTGTGGCGCTGCCTGCTGGTCATGGGCATCTTAGCATGGGAACTGAAGAGGCCGCCGTCCCAGGCTGCCTGCAGCTGAGCCTACGAGATTGCGCAGGAGGACCGGGCTGAGAGCTTCTCCTGGGCTCTGCTGAAACCAGATTAGACAGATTTGACTTCTAAGTACACACGACAAAACCAGTGAGGATCTTGCTAGCGTACCCTAAAATAAATAGGACTGCTTGGTTGAGGAAGATGCAGCCTGCAGTGATCCGAGGGTGGTCCTTCCTCCCCCCGCCCGGCGTGGGCACAGAGGGTTATTTTTTATTCCACACACGGCACACATGAACTCAACTGCTTGGAGCACAAGTTCTTCCCAGCCTTTCCCCAAGCCTGTATGTAATAGAAGATCCCTTGTGAGCTGGGGGTGCAGGTGTGGGGCCCAGGGACCATGCGCCCGCGTGGGAAGAAAAAGTGCGGAATAGACCTCCGTCCAGAGGAGCTGGGTGCGGCATGTCGGTATTGCAGGTTAGGAAGGAGCGTGGAGGTGGTGTGGCGCTTGCTGGTGCTGCCTCTTCACGCTGCCGAGCTGCAGGGGTGTGCGTTTCTAGGGACGCCGGTGTGCGACTGCTGGGTCACTTAGCGGTGCTCCCAGGAGGCCCAACATTTTGGATAACTGAAAATGGGATTTCTCACTGTGCTATGGATGAGCCACTGGTTTATGCTGTTGCCTGTACATGAGAGAGTTCCTGCTGGAGATGGAATGTCTGCATGCTGTGCGCTTACTGTATCACATAACGTAGAGCCGTGCGGTTCGTACCAGTGTACTGCGTTTGTCCAGCTCTGAGGAAGGGGCACTGGAGTCGTCCATCATAGCTGCGCTTTCACGAGGTGTCCTTCCACCCACCGGGAGCTGTGTTTCCACGCAGCATTGGTGAGGCGGCCTTCCCCTGCCTCACGCTGTTGGCGCACCAAGCCCACTGCCCTCACCGAGCTGTGCTGCAGCAGCCTCTGCCTGTAGATCTGCTTCTGGTTCTCACTTGCTGGTCTGGCCATTTGTCCATCATCGAAGCCTTTACTCATCTCGCTGTGTTCAGTGGTTTTCTTTTTAATCATTTATTTATTTATTTATTTGGTACAGGGTCTCACTAGGTAGTTCAGACCCGTAGTGATCTTCCTCTCAGCCTCCCCAGTGCTGGGATTACAGGCGTGCGCCACCAGGCCTGGTTTCGGGGTTCTAGGGCCAACACCACGTGCAGTTCTGGGATCGAACCCAGGTCCTCGTGCTTGCCAAGCAGGTGCTTAGATGGCCGAGCTATCGCCCCCGCCCTGTTCAGGAGTTTTCTTTCAAACACAGCTCACTTACTTTCTTGTCCTCTTATTTATGTACTTTTTTGTTTTCATTTTCACCTACTTGCACACGGTTTTTTCCTGGAAGGATGAAGTATGTTTACATCTGGTGGAATGACTGAAGTACTTCTTTATCTCTTCCCTCATTTTGTTGATTATTTTATGTTGTGACTTTCTTTTACTTTCTAGTTTCTCAGTCAGAAAAGTTGCTTTTCTCCCCTTTTTAAATTTAAAAGTCATCTTCACTTTTCCTAAATGGTTCCAGTTCCTTTTCCTTTTATTTCTCTTTTATTTGAAAAGAAAACTAGCTATGCCCCGCTCCCCCAAGCCTCCAGCTCCTGGACCCTCTGTAATGTGAGACGTGCATCCCTCCCGTCCATCTCCTTGTACACTTGGCTCAAATCGTCCCAGATGGTGGCTCATGAGACCCTGCTTTGCGTTGTACCCTTGTGCTGCAGGAGTTTCGTTGATCTCTGTATTTCACACCGCAGGCCAGGCAAGTGCTTGTGTTGCAGCCCCGGATCTTATGTTGTGCCCCTTGGCATGGTTTGTGGTCTGTCCAGTACGTCTGTGTGCGGTCAGGTGGGCTCTGTGAGTCTTCCTCCTCCAGTGGGCCGTGAGGCTGGACGCTGTCGGACTCTTGTCTGTCTTGGAGAGGGCTCCTCCATCTGAGGAGGGAGGCTGGCTGGTGTGGAGGACTCTCAGGCGAAGTCCTCTTCTCGAGTTGCTCACGAGAAGGCTGAAGCCAGGCTCAGCCTTGTCCTGACGAAGCCGCTTGTGCTTTCTGTCTGGGCGTGCAGTGTTTTCCTTACTTTTTGGACCACCTGGTGTGTGAGTCCTTTCCTGGTGTATCTCCTGGGATGCGGGACCCCCACTCCTGGCCAGACAGATGGGTCTTGTTTCTGGTATTTGTTCAGTGCTTCCTTTTCATCTCCTGTTTTGCCTGGAGTGGCTTTTTTTTTTTTTTTAATATCGCACGTAACCTTCTATTCTTTAAATCTCTTCTTTCCTTCTTGGTGTGCGTGTGTGTTTTTGCTTTGTGCTTTAAGATTTTTTGGCTTGATTTTTCCTGACACTATTTGGTTTACTAAGTTGGCCATCAGTCCCTCAGTTCATCTGCTGGACTTTTAATTTTTTTAATTTCGGCAGTCCTATCTTTAGATCAGAATTCTGCCCCTGTGCTTCATAAGCATTCTCTTGTATTCAGTGCTGCTTCTTCAGATGGAGGGTGTCCTCCCATACGTTACTTCTGACACTCACTGGGGCTCAGTGCTGGTCACAGGACTGCTCAGGGGCACTTGGACCCCAGCCCAGCTCCTTCTGCATTTGTTTCAGGGTGGGAGTTGATCCTGGGCTTGGAATCGATGATGCCCTGTAGCACCAGATCGTCCCAGGATCCAAAGTAGTTCCAGCTTTGCTTAAGAACTCTTCAGCCTCTTTTTCTGGCCTCTGCTACACTTTCCAGTAATCCACTCCCAGACCTCCCCAGCTGCCCCTTCCTGTGGGTTCCATAGCCCCTGGAGGAACATAGGTGGGCAGAGTGAGGGGCAGGCCTTCCCAGGGCCATCGGCTTCTCAGCTATCACTACTTTGTGTTCATAAAACAAACTTTTTTTAAAAAAAAATTTTAGGGAAGGGTCTACAGGGTGTTCAGGGTCTCACTACTAGATCGGACTCATAGTGAACCTCCTGTTTACAGCCTCCCAAGAGCTGGGATTACAGGCCCGCCACCACGCCCAGTCTCAATTGCCTTCTCAGTGCGCCCTGGGGGCAGGGCTGGCTCGGCAGGCCCGGAGATCAAACCCCTGGTCCATGAGCCTACTTGCAGGTGCTTTACCCTGCTGAGCTACTTGGCCAGCCCAAACACACATTCTAACCAGAATAAACTGCAAATTTTTACAGAGCAGAAGAAATTACCTTTTTCTGTCCATTCTTCAGCAGGAGCCGCTGGAATAGAGCCAGCAGGCGATGTACATATGTCCTATGGACTGTACACAGTGTTGAAATGAAGATGCTCCCGTAAAAGGGACACTGCCGTGAACGCCCTCAGAACGCCGCCTCCCTTTGGGCGCCACCGTCGTTTGGCCACTCTCTGACGTAGTCCTGGAGCTACTCTTCATGAGTGCTTTTAGTGCCTTGTTGTGGCTGCCTTGGTGGCCTGGCTCTGCTCAGAACGTTGCCTTCGTGCTCAGTTGGACTTCAGGGGGGAGCTGGCAGGCCGCGGTGCGGGTCCGCTGACTGCGGAGGCTGAGGGCGCGGCGGCGCGGTTGTGAGCCGCCTTTCTGTTGGCTGGCATGCGCGGCAGCATTGGCCGTATTTTTTCTCGTGTCCTGTAAACTCTCAAGGAGGACTTCCAGGCCTGCTGCAGAAAGTGGCACTGTGGGCGTTGTGCGCGAGGTGAGCAGAGTGTGGAGGGCGAAGTTCGGGGCAGTGTGTTTTATTTGAAATTTAAAGGAACGACCCGATAGCTCAGTGCACCAGAGTGCCTGCTTAGGCAGAGCACAGTGGCCGGGGTTCAGTCCCCAGGCCTGCCACGCCGGCCCCGCCCCCACGGCACACTGAGACGCGAATGAGACTGGGCGCGGCGGCGCGGCTGCCATCCCAGCGCTTGAGAGGCTGAAAACAGGAGGATCGCTGCACATCCGATCTGGTGAGACCCTGTAGACCTGGAAGACCCTGCTCTAAATACAGAAAAGAAAAAAGAAATTTAGACATTACTGCATTTCAACTATACTTACATATAGTATGGACATACACCATGTATGCATGGCCCCATTACATGTGCTGTTTTGAAACTTGACTTCTCTTAAATATATTAAGGTTATTTTTTAAAAAATGTGAATTTATGTGCACTTCCCATCTTGTTTGTGCCTGCATGGTTTTCAACTGTGGCATACTAAAATATGTTTAACACATGTTCTGTGCATTGTGTTATTTTGAAAATTTTTGCCCCATCAGATTAACTAGATATGGAAGGTATTGGTCAAAGCATTTATGCACTTGGTATTTGCTTCTCCCAAAGTATCTCCCAGAAAGATAGCGGCTGTTCCTCTCTCAGCTGTAGAATATGAGACACTTCTCCTGCTCTGGCTGGCGCTGCAGTATTATTATTATTGTTATTATTATTATTTTGTATTTTAGGGAAGGGTCTACCAGGTGTTCAGGGTCTCACTACTGGATCGGACTCTTAGTGATCTGCCTGTTTACAGCCTCCCAAGAGCTGGGATTAAGGCACGTGCCACCACACCCAGTCTCAATTGCCATCTCAGTGTGCCCTGGGTGGGGGCAGGGTGCGGGGGACACAGCAGGGCAGGCCTGGGGATCAAACCCCTGGTTAATCCGCTGAGCTATTTGGCCAGTCCTTTGCAGTATTAATTTTTCATTTTTGTTAAGCAGATAAAATTAAAAGTAGCATTCTGTTGCTTTAACTTGAAAATGTCAAATTATAAGTGACAGGATGTTTACTGTGTGACTATATTTTTTCTTTATGAAGTGCTTCTTTTTCTTGTATTCTTTTTCCACTGAGTTGTTAAGCTCTTAATGCGCTGGAATTCTTTGTAACTTAAGGAAGTCAGTTTTATGTCTGGCATTTGTGTTGTCAGAATGTTTCCTGGTGTATTATTTGCCTTTGGGTTTTTATGGTGGTCTTGGCTACACTGGTATTTTTAATTTTCTGTTTTATTGACTTTTTACCCGAGGCTGTAGAAAGATCTTCTTACTTTAAGATGACAGGAGCGCCAAGAGCTGCGGTTTCTTCTTGTACTTTTATGGTCTCACCTTTCACATATAAATTTCTGATCCACTTGAAATTGACTTTGCTGTGAGGCACGGAGGAGTCCAAGTTAACTTGTTAATCCTCTTTCTATACGGCTTCCTACTTACTCCAGCGTCACGGTCAGAGCTCATCTCTGATGGCCGTGGGGCGCCTCTGTCATCCTAGGTGTCGTCAGGTGGCTGACTGTTGTGGGAGGATCGGGGTCTGCCTGGTGGCCCTCACAGGAGCACGTTGGGGGTCTGAGGCCTGCGTGGTGCTGTGCGTGCCAGGAGCTCGTCCAGGCTGGGAGCTGGCACTTGCACCGCCTGCGGGGTCCGCGCTGCGCTCATGGCTTCTTGTGCTTGCTGTTGCAGATATCTGAGAAGTATGGGCTGCCGGTGGAGAAGATTGCAAAGCTGTACAAGAAAAGCAAAAAGGGGTAAGAAAGAAACCAGCTCACTTCCAAATCAGACAGGCCTGCGTGGTGCTCTTCCTAAACAGTGCCCATCTCGTGTCACTTCTGTCGCCCCTTCACGAGAGTGAGCTGCCCTGGAGGCCTGCAGGGCTGCTTGAGGCAGGTGCGCGAGCCTTTCACGAGGGAGGACAGGAGCACACGGCAGCACACTGATGGAGGTCCCTGTCCCGGTGACAGGATTCACGGCGGCCTGGCGGGGTGGGAGGGGGCGAGCACGGGGGCAAAGGCGAGGCTCCCTCTAGTCAGTGTTGGTGGGCACTTGCACATGGCCCTCAAGGTTGGCTCCAGGCCAACCATGGGAGCAGGCCTAGGTCCTAGACACTTCTTTCCTGTCCCCATTTGCCGGGAGCAGCAGCTCTCATCTGCTCAGCGTCCTGCCCGTGTCCCTCTGCTCTGCCTCACTGTTCTGCGAGGCCACCACTGCCATCCTCTCCTTTCCCAGTGGAAACCAAGCCAGAGCCCCAGACGCGCCCGGCCCCGGATGCAGCTCACTTAGCAGGAAACACTGGAGCGCTAGGCCTGGCCTCAGAGCTCAGCTCCCGGGCTGCGACCTGACGGCACTGGCCGAGGCTTCTCTCAGAGCAGCTGTGGTGCCACATGGGGCAGGAGACAGAGGGCCCGAACTCCCCTGCATCCCCTCCTGAAGACCCCTGCTGACCCAGGGTTCCCAGGCTTTCTGAGCGGATAGGCCAGCGGGAGCAGAGCCTTTGGCGCTTCCCTGTGAGTGGCTGCGGGACACCTTGCTGAGGACGGCACTGGCCGTGCGTGTGGGCCCCATGCCTGGCGCGTCTCACCCAGGGGCAGTAGAATAAACTGGGGCTCTGCACGGTGAAGTAACCTGATAGAATTAAGATGGGTTCTCAAACGAAGACCTTACGAGCAAACTCTGGAAATTGTTGATTTTGTTAAAACTAAATCCATCATGCGCATTTGGCCACGGAGCAGGGCCGTGTGGGAAAGAAGCTGGTTCCAACAAGCTCAGCCCCGGCTGCGCGTGGGGGGAGGAGGGTGGCGCCTCCCACATCCAGCCGGAGGGGCTGAACCCTTGCTTCTGTCGCTGCCCTGCTGGGTCAGGGGCCTCAGAGCTTACCAGAAATAGTCGGGGCCCGGCTGTGCTGGCGGCAGCGTCAGCCTCGCTAAGTTCTTGAGCCTCCCTTTACCGATCTACAAAGCAAGAGGGTTGGGGGGGGCAGGGGGAAGGTGCCCCAAGAGGGGGCGTGGCCTCCAGCCCCGCCCCCAGCGCCCAGCCCAGGCCTGCCTGCAGCGCCCACGCTTCTTTGTGTCCCCTTCTCTGGCAGCATCCTGGTGAACATGGATGACAACATCATCGAGCACTACTCCAACGAGGACACCTTCATCCTCAACATGGAGAGCATGGTGGAAGGCTTTAAGGTCACCCTCATGGAGATCTGAGGCCTGGGCCGGCCCCTGCAGGAGCGCCCCATGCTTCCCGGCGGAGCTGTCCGCCATTTCCTCTCCCAACTGCTGTTACAAGACCCCGACCAACCGCACTGGGACTCAGTGCCCTGCTGGGACCTAGCCACCGCCCGGGGCTCATGAGTCCTTATTTATTGCTGCCTTCTCCAGAGCCCGGGGCCAGATGGTCAGACTGCACAGGTCACTGCTGGTTCTGTGGGCGACAGCCCCGAGCCCCTCTGCAGGCACCGGCCACCCCCAGGCCCCAGAGCCAGAAGCCTCTCTCCCTGCTCTCGCTTCTCTGCAGCTCCTGGTGCCTGACCCAGTAGCTAGCTGCACTGGGAGTGGTGATCACAGGTGGGGCCACAGGGGGGTGCCCTACCCTGACAAACTCGTGGCCCTTTGAGGGGTCATCCTGCTAGAACCCTGCAGTGAGCAAGCAGCTGCTGGCCCTGTCTGGGGGACATGAGCTCGAAGCGTGCCCAGCAGCGTGTACATAGTGTGTATAAATGGCTGTAATATAATTCACCCGGTGCACAGGGCCACAGGCCCTGGCCTGGCAGGCACCTCCCCAGGGACTGAGGGCTCTGCCCGCACTGTGCAGAACTCATGCTGAGCCAAGGGCTGTGACAGCCAAGACGGACTCTCCTGGAGGCATCTGGGCCACCAGGCACCTCAGCCTCTGCTGCCGCCTCCCCGGGCTGCCTCACGTCCTGGTTCTTCTGCAGCGCAGTCTGAGACACCCCAGTGGCCAGCAGCGAGGCCGCCCTGCTGACCTGGGCACTTCGGATGCTGTGTGGCACCTGGCAGTTGGCATCGTGCCCTCCATCCCTCGTGGAGTCTTGCACCAAGCCCAGCTCTGGCTCGTGCCAGGGACTGCAAGGGGCAGCTGCTTGGATGCAGTTCTGGAGCTGGGGGCAGGCTGCCAGAAGAGGAGAGGGCACCCCAGAGAGAACCCTCCCAAAACTGTCAGCAGCTTAGGGGTTCACGTGCACCCTCTGGGCTGAACCCCTCAACTTGGTGGCCAACAGACATATCCCACCCCATGCCACCTGAGGACAGGCTCTGTGAAAAGTCGGGATGTGTGATAAATCGCTTTGGCGCCCCTGGTGCCTGCGATGTGGGACGCTGTGTTCCCCAGACCTGAACAGCAGCCAGGCTGCCCCCAGCAGAGCCGGAGGCCTCTAGCCTGTGAAGGAGTTGGATGGGATGGAGAGCAGGTGCCACCGCTGCCCAGCTCTGCTTGGCCTGCCACCTCTCCCCACGACATTGCGAGTCTACCCGTGGGGCTCAGCTGTGCTCCAGTCCCGTCCCGTCCCCCCTCCACCCCCCCGACCAGCCACGCAGAACTCGCCTGGGCCCTCTTGGGGCTCAGGTCTAAGATGACGTTCAGTGCTAGAAATTCATGGGAGCCCATACCTGCTGGCCCCCACGGTTAAGAACTGGTTTGGATGGGACGGGCAGGCCCTGAGGCCAGGCTGGGGACCCCAGCGCAGGGAAAGCCACAGGTGTGGCAGCTGGAGATAGCCATGGGCTGGAAAGACCCAGTTCCCGTGGAGGCTGTGGGCTCTGTCCGAGGCAAAAGGGAGACACCTCTGCCTCTGGTGAGCATTGCCAGAGCCAAGGTGACAAGGCCGTGCCACTCAAGGTTGGGGGACAGTGCCACCCATCCCATTTGTCCGTGTCTTCAAGTACACACAGGTGGCTTCCATGACCCCTTCCGTGTGTTAGCAGAGCTGCGATCAAAGCTCCCCAGGAGAACATTCCAGAAAGGAAAGCTCGCTGCCTCTTTTCTTTGTCCTTTAATCACTCCAAAATGAATAAATAAGCTTTATGTTGGCAGTCCCTAAACAGTGGGGGACACCTGAGTGGCGTCTTCTGCGTCCCCAGTTGTTTGGGCTGTGCAGCTCAGAAAGTGGAACCAGCAGGAAAAGGCAGCCAGACGCTGCCCTGGAGCTGGTCCCTGGAAGGCGGGGGCCCGTCCCAGCCCAGACGCTCGCGAAGTGTGAAATGAGTCAGGCATTTGTTTTCCTCCTTATTTAAAATTACGAAAAAGCAACAGAAATAGAGGGTTTGTGCCAAATTCTCAGAATGGTCCTTTCTTAAAGACAAGCTTGAGAGACTTGTGTGTACAGTTTGCTCTCATGTTAAAAAGAAAATGAGGTAAATGTAACTTAATAGTTTTGTAAATGGGAGAGGGGAAATCTATAAACTATAAATACAGCTATTTTATTTTTTGTACATTTTTAAGAAGAAAATAAATATTCATAACATAAACAACAGCATCTGATGCTTCCTAAGAAGGTGTTGGGGGCACTGTCCATGGGAGGTTCCTGGGTGCCAGGCTGCCTGCCTCAGCTGCTGAAGAGCAGCCCAGGGCTAACTGGGGCGCAGGTGGAAGATGTCACCGGCTCCAGCGTGGCCCTGCAGGCTTGCAGGGAAGGGGTTGAGCCCACCTCTCCTGGCCATGCCCCAGGGCTGCCCCTCTTTTCTGGGCTTCCCATGGATACTTGCTGCTCCCTCAGTCCACCAGGCCAGCCTCTCTGGTTGCGACACTGTCTTGCTCTGGAATACCTGGCTCGGCACCATTCCAGTCCAGCTGTGAGTTCCTTGGTGACCAGGGTGTCCCTTCCAGCAGGGAGCAACTGCCTTTCGTCCATGTCCACAGCTTGCACATATTGGCTGAAATTTGCCTTCGAAAATTTGCCATGGCCCCCAGCCTGATGGCAACTCTCATGCCCTGTGTGAGAATCAGGGCCCTCGCAGAGGGCACTTGCTGAGGCTCCTCTGGGGAGGCACAGGGTACAGCAGTGGGCCCCATGGCTTCTCATCAAGAGCTGTATCCCCTGCCTGAGGGCACGGTGCCTCTTCTCTGCCCCTGCTGCCTGCAGACCCGCGGCCTCTATACCCTCCTTCTTGGTCTGTGATGACCACACAGTCCTGCTGTTGGGTGTGCTACACTCACCCTTTGTGCCATCCACTGCCAGCTCCCCAGAGAGACACCTCTGCTGAGTTTCCTGAAGGGTCACCTTGGCGTTGCCTGGGCTCTGTCCGCAGAGGTCCTTCAGCCCTGGGCTTCCTGTGCCCCTCTACGTGGCACGTGAGCTCATACTGGAGACTCGGGAATGGGCCGATCGACAGGGATGCTGGCCAGAGAAAGCAACTGAAGAGGAAGGACACAGTGCAGAGGTGCCCACTGTGGGCACCCTGCTGGCTTCCCTGGCCTGTGCCCCAGGGGAGCCGCCCACTCTGCGCCCTGCCCTGTGAGCTGCTTCGCGGTGGTATCAAGCCTGGACAGAACTTGCTGAGCTGAAGCCAGTGCTGTGCTCAGGTCAGCCCTTCTCTCTCCTCCGTCTGGCACCACACCTGCAAGGCCACGGAGGGGGAGGCCACCAGGACCCACGCCAGCAGCACAGTGACTCCACACCGCTGTCGGAAGATGCGTCTTAGCCTACCCCCTGGCTGGCTGTGCCTGCAGCTGGTGCTGGTGGCGCAGGTGAGGATTTAACGTGGTTGGAGGGGGGCAGGCCCTGCTGTTCTCTCCCGTTCTTCTAAAGAGCCAGAAGCGCACCAGCCATTCCTGGACTAGTGGGGGAGAAGCCAGGAGCCACCTCCCCTCAGCTGCGGCCCTGCCCAGCTGTCCTGAGTTAGCTCTGTGCTGTCGTTCGCATCGTCCTAACGTGTGCCCCAGACCATGCGCTGCACTCAGCATGCGGTGAGCACTGCCGGGATCACTGGACACCACAGGCAGGCGGGCAGCTTTCCAAGGTCGGAAACCCGCTTGCCTCAGTCCCTGGAAACCCACTTGAGTCAGCCCCCTTCCAAGACTGTGGAGGGGAGGCCACCAGGACCCACGCTGGGCCATCTCGGCCCTGGCAGCAGTCTTTCTGTTCCAGCTGGATTTGATGGGGAGTCCGCCAACTTGGAAAACAGGACTCAATGGTTTGGTGTTTTTTGTTTTTTGTTTTTTTGATTCTTCAACTATCTCAAGAACCAGAAAATTCCAGGGAAATTCTGAGCACGGCCCTGACAAAGTTGAGAGAGACTCGGGGAGTGGCTCCCTTCCTCAGGCTGGTGTGCCCGCCCCCTTGCTGCCTTGGCCCTTCTGGCTGGTGGGTCAACCGGACCAGGATGCTGGCTTAGTGCCCTGCAAGCATGAGCCTTGGGTGTGGACGTGTGCTGGCAGCTACTAGGTGTGCAGCTTTGGCCCGGTGGAGCTCCAGCCGCCTTCCCACCCGCACTCCATGCCCGAACTCCTGGGCACCAGGGCAGTGCGGTCCAGCAGGTCACCAGTGCCCCCTTGAGCCCTCTTGCCCGCCTGCTGTCATGCACCCTAGGTTGGCACCTTAGTGACCCCATCTCCACAGCATTTTCCTCCTAGGGTGGAGGAAAGGGTCAATGGCAGTGACAGAAACAAACAGCTAGATCTGAATGGCCCTAGTGTGGCCTTTGCAGCGTCTCACACTGTGACTCGGGTGCACCAGGGCCCACTGCCAGGGAGGGCCGAGCTCAGAGTCTCCGCTCTGTGCCTGCTCTCTGAACTGTGTGTGCAAGGAGAAGAGTTGGGGAGAGGAAGCCACAATGTAAAGGAAGGCGGGAAGCTGTGCATACACCAAGGGTGCTTTGGGGACCCCCACCCCCAGCCAGACCCAATCTTAAAATGTCCCCACAAGGGGGCCAGAACCCACACCCAGGATGTCCCTATGCACAGCCAACTAGGGCAGCAGCACCGTCAGGAAAAGCTCACGCTCCAGCCAATCATATTAAACAATCCACATGCTTTAATGCCAGGCAAGAGCTACACAAAGTCAACTGACACAGGGCCACGCCACATGAAGCGTTCACACACGTGATCAGGTCAGAGTGGGCAGTCCTGGGGCAGGTTGCCGGAGGGACAGCAGCCTCCCTAAGCCAGCAGGTGTGAACAGTCCAGCACTCTGTACCATTGTCCAGGTCATAAGACTGGTCCCAGTCCCCTGTCCCAAGCAGGAGTGACTGAGGACAGAACAGAGTGTTCCACAGGTTCCTGCACACAGCAAAGATGATGGCCCCACACAGGAGTGATGGAGACCTTCAGACATCCGGGCTTCTGGAGATGTCCGGCTCCCGGCTCCCTTGGCTGAACTTGAATGCATAGGGTTAGCTGTGCCAAGACCTGGGAAGGAGGAAGAAGAAGAAACCAGCCCTGGAGGAAGCACAGACAGGCCAGGGCTGCACGCTCGGCGTGCGCTCTGGACCTTCTGGGAGCATGATCTCCGTGACCTCACTGGCCACGCGTCTGCTCTGTTCCCTGGACTCTGGAGACCACAGTGCAGCTCATCCCAGCCAGTTGCACACGGGCAGGTCTGGGCGAGGGTCTGCTGCACTGACTCCTCTCACACAAGAGCACTGGGAAGAGCAGCTCAGACCCACTCAGTCCAGAGCAGGCAAAGTCTTATTGGTCCCAAGCAGATACAGCACGCTGGGCTTCTTCCCTCTACTCCATGCTTCGGGTCGGTCCCCACTTCTCAAGGACAGACCTCACTGCTTGTTGGTAGAGAAGTGTGGCAAGGCTCAGCACAAAACGGAAGGAATTAACACTCAGACGAAGATGAAGATGCCGGAGTCCCGGCCTCAGATTGTCACACTACACAGCAGTGTGCCATACACACAGCTGGAAGGGACCGAAGCCACGCCACGAGCTGGAGGCTGGGGCAGGCGCAGCACTGTGCTCCTCATGGCCGTGCTTCTCCCCCTGCAGCGCCCATCTGCCAGGGGGGGCTCAGCAGTGGACGGAAGCCCTGGACCTCCAGCTTCTCTGAGGCAAGTCCCCACCTACATCCTTGGGTGTCAGAGCCTTCCTGGGCCAATGGTTTGTGAGACTATGACCTGGCTGGGCCCAACCATTTTTAGTGTGCACAAGGTAACCAACCCAAACAGCAGTGCATATCTGTCTTGTCACCTCTGGCAAGAGAAATTTGCATCAGAGAACCCAGTGGTGGAAGGTCCTGTTGGACCATACGCAACCTGGACACCTGGCTGCTTACTGCATACTCAGGGACTGCCCCCCACCCCGCCCCCGGCTCTGGAAAGGCCGCCAGGGACGGAAATGTAGTTGGACCAACAGACAGTTCTAGGGCATGGCTGTGCTGTTCCAGTCTGCCAAGGCCCATCTGCTCAGAAAAGCGCCTCACCTCCAGCCTCCACTCAGGCAGCCACTGAGCCCCTGGGCTGAGCCAGAAACTGCAGCTTCAGCCCCTCAACAGGGTCCCCTCCTGACTCCCTTAAACCTGTCACTTCTGTTCTCTGCCCGACTCTGGGAACCCAGGCAGAGCCAAGCAGGGCCCTCATCGTGGTCCCTGGGAAGTGGAATCATAGACTATACTTGTTGACTGGTACGCTTGGGCAGAGGCAGACATGACTCGGAAACAAGACACGCATCGCACTGGGCTTACTTCCCACGAAGCTCCTGAACACGGTCTTCCGATCGGCTTGTATTCGTGCTCGCTAAGCATGCACGTGCAAGGCAAAACACTTAATTTAGTCTGTGATACCAGGATTTTATATACACAGTCTCTCTTTTTTTAAAAATCACAACAGGCAACAAGATGGGTCTGGTTTGGGGATGTGTGACCATTTGTGTTTGATTTCTGAAGCAAGTCACCCTAGCTCAGTGGGCGCAAACGCGGAAACACCAGCCGAGCTCCCGCAGGCCCCCGGGCTCCTAACTGACCTGGAAATGTTCACAGCTTAGAAACCACAGCCTGCTGGGCCGCGAGTGGGGCTCGCGGGTGCCCCGGCGCCCTTCCCTAGCCTCGCCCCGAGGGTCACTGTCCTCGGGGAAGCCAGCTTCTGGCCCCATCCGTGGCCCCCAGAGTGTGTGCAAGCCCAGGCCAGTTTGGTCATTTCAACAAGGCCCCCAGAAGCGTCCGTGGCCTCGCCGGCTGGAAGGGATTCCCGTCCGCTGCCCTCCAAGCTTGGGTCTTAGAACAGAGACATCAGGCTCCAAAGAAAATAATAATAACAACAGGTAAAAAGTCACAAAACAACGACACCACGACGTCTGTTCATGCTCTCCACAGGCACACGGGCTCTGCATTCCCATGAAGCGTCCACGGCGACGAAGCTGAAGGTGAAGGTGTCACGGAAGAAGGGGCGTCCAGCTGCACAGGGGACAGCGCCGCCATCGGTACTGTTTGGCAGAGAACAGCTCATTACACAGAGCGGTGGAAGGGCACAAGCAGATCGGGACGCGGCGCGGCTCAGAACTGGCCGGCGCTGCTGGGGTCGCACTGTAGGAGGCGCACGATGGACGGGTCGCTCTTGGCCCCTCGGATGAACTCCTCCAGGGAGAGTTTTCCTAGAGGCGAGAGGACGGAGAGTGAGTACAGGTGGCGGCAGCTGCCCACGGCGTGCCCACCTACTTCCTGTTGGGGGCTCGGCCACTCAGCTGACGCAGCCTCCACGGAGCCCAGGGGGCCAAGTTTCCAGGGGAGGTCTGCAGGGCCACCTGCTGGGACCGCGGCACTGCCCGAGCTCTCCTCTACACAGTGGTGACTTGTGAGGATGACAGGAAACGGGCGCGGGCGCTCGCACCTGCAGGAACCTCAATAGCAGCCTGGCACCGTGTTGGCCAGGGACACTGCTCCACTGACAGCCACTGTGTCCTAGGGTCTTTCCAGGAGGCCCCGGTTTTTCCAGTCAGAGGCCATGGGTAAGAGGCAGACAGCACCTGATCCAGGGGACTCTACCTGAGCCTGCTCTGCCTCGGGTTGCGGGAGAGCGGTGGCCTGTTCCCTGGGGTCTGGAAACCAAGCCCTGAGCTGGAGGACACGAGCTCCCAGTGCTGTCCTCCGACCACCCTGCAGCCAGCCTCTCTCGCTCCTCTTTGCTGCTTCACACCTGTCTGCGCTGCAAGCAGCCTTCAGGGACACCCCCCACCCCCCAAGACCCTGGTCCTGCTGGTGCCTGTCACGGGGGGGGGGTTGTCCTGTCCGCCTGATGTGGCGTGCCCTGCCCCTCCCCTGCAGTGTTCCCTGTGCCCAGCAACACTGCTTTGCGCTGAAGGTCCAGGAGTGGATGGAATCATCCTGAGTTTAATTTCTGCAAAACAGTCAGATTATTTGCTGCGAATCCAGGCACACAAAGGAAAGGAGGTCTGTACCCCACAAAGCAAACAGACTGGATGCAAACCCAGATCCCACGCAGCTGGGTGTGGCAGCTGGGTGTGGCGAGCACTGGCACATCAGTGGCGAACACTGCCAGTACCCTGGGCGGAGCAGGCGAGCTGGTAATGACAGCAAGAGCTGCAGAGCTCCAGGTGGCCTGTTCCCTGGGGAAGCCTCACGCTTCCACGTTCAGCTCAGGCACTTATTCAAGCAGCACGGCCAGGTCTGGCAGATTTCTCGGAGGTGCCTAGTTAGCCCTGAATTTCAGAAAAATGTCACACAGTTTCTCAGTGGATGTTCCAGCTGCTACGTGAGGGCCTACTTACGATAGAAACGTCACTGCTGTACCAACCTGGAGACTCCGGCTGCTCTCGAGGTGGAATCCGACCCCCCTCACTGGCCTGTTTGTGGGTTTCAGCTGTGGCGGAGGCCTGCTGGCCAGCCCACCCACCCCCAACCCCAGGGCCTGAGAGAAGCCTGGTCTCGCTGTCTTGGGCCCTGCGCAGCAAGCCCCAATTTGGTCCTAGAGCAGGGAACCCCAGCTGGACTCCAGCAGCAGCTCCGCCTGAGCAACCATTCCTACCGTCTCTGTTGGTGTCCATCTGGCGGAAGATCTTCTCTGTCCTTTTCTCTGGGGTGGACTCATCTTCAGGCATTTTCATTACAGAGGAAACCATCTTGTAGATGGCCTGGGGACAGAAGGAAGGCGTGGTAAAGCAGGCACATGGAGCCCTACTGGTAAGCCTTCCAAAAAGACCCCAGACGCAGGCAGCACTGGACCCAGCCCTGCTGATGGATGGCATGCAGTCCCCAGGCCATCAGCGCTCGCTGACCGCAGTGACATCTGGTGGGAAAAGCTGCACCTGAGGTGTCAGCAAAGCTAACTGTGTGCAAATCCGCCCTGACACGCAGGGTCCCAGCCAGGCCTGAGGTCCAGGTCTGCGCGATGCTGGTGCTGGCGGAGCAGGGACATAGAGGTCTCTCGTGGGCCTCAGAGCCCGCAGGGCCTGCTGTGGTGTCCGTGAGGCCACACAGGATGACAGACACCTGACAGGCTCCAGGGAGAGGTCCAGGCACCCCTGGGCTGTCCCTAAATCTGGGGGCTGGATCCTTCCCAGCAAGCTCCCAGGTACCCCAAGGGGGAGAGAATCCACCCTTGGAGTTCTGGATTAAGGTAATTTCACAATCTCAGCCTGAGCAAGACTGTTCACATCGACGGAACAACTTTCTGCAGTGGTACTGAAACTGTCCCTGCTGACTGTGGCCTCTTGGGGACCCGCAAAGACATCAGAGGACAGAGAGATGGGCCAGGGGCCAAGAGCTGGAGGGTGGAGAAAAGAAGAGGCGGACAAGGAGACAGAAAAGGATGCAGACACATTCCGAGCCTGGGCCACGCCCACGGCGAATGGAATCATTACGGACTGCAGACTAATTGGGAATAAAATCCAGCAAAAGGCCTTGCTAGCTTGGTGTTTGGGAAGAGTCATACTGACTTTGCTAGGCAGACTGGCTTGGGCATCTTAGCTCTGGGGAAAAGCTTCAGGAAAGTGTATTTTGTCAGGAAGTGGGAGAAAATTCCAGAACTTTCTAGAGTTCTGGGTCCAGCAGGGCAGTGCAGAGAGCAGAATAGGAAGGCAGGGGAAGGAAGCAGCCCACACGTGGGACAGGTGGCGGCCCAAGGGACAGCGGCGGTTAAAACCTGCACCGACCCAGTCTCTGGAGCTCTGGACATGGAATAATCCGGTCTCAGCCAAGAAGAGAAGCATGACAGCGAGCAGCACCTGGCGTAGCGTACTGTCCCCAGCTGACTCTCCCTCGGAGAGCCCTCGGGCCAGCTCCTGCGTGTCTCAGAGGAACACTGCACTGTGAACGGCTCAGCCAGCCACGGTCCATCCCCTCCTGGGCCCTCCAGCCCAAGTCCAGGCCATGGTCGATGTCAGGGTCCTGTGCCGTGACCCTGGAGGGGCTGGGACAGGACAGAGGCTGAGATGGGCCGAGGAGGCCCCGCTGGAGGCCCGAGGTCCAGCAGCCTCGCCCGGCGTCTCCTTGCCAAGCGCAGAGCTCTTCCATGGACCCAAGCGATCGGGAGTCAGCCGCGGCTGCCACAGCGCATGCGCCTTGGACGGAAGAGCGTGGCCTCAGAGGACAGAGGAGCAGCGCTGGCGGGGGCTGCTCTCACAAGCAACCTCAGCCACACCACCACCCCGGCCCTCCCCGGGCCTGACCCGCTCTCCACGGGCTGCTTGCCGTGTCGGACTGGTCTGCGAGGGCTTCCCCAGGCCAGCTGCTTACTGGCACTGCTGTCGCCAGGCCCCCCAACCTCTCTGGCACACACCTGGTTGTCTGGGGCCACAGCTCTGCCCACACTCATCTTTCCCCAAGTGCTGATGCCCCTCCTCTCTTCCTCCAACTCCCACATGAGTGGCAGGGCAGCTGGTGCGCAGCCTCCTCCAGAGGCCGCCGTGCGCCTGGGTCCTGCTGCTGTGTGCAGCCACGTCTGCGCCCACCCACTCTGCCTTCCCTCATGGCCCCTTTCTTCTCTCACATTTTCTGTTCTACTTCTCTTTACGTTTCCCTTTTAAGCTGGGAGTTATGCACACCTGTAATCCCAGCACTCGGGAGGCTGAAGCAGGAGGACTGCTGTGAACTCCAGGCTGGCCTGCGCTACATAATGAGAGTTTGTCTCAAAAAACAAAATGAAAAAGTGTCCCCTCTATCATTTATATTTATTTTTTCCCATCTTCTCCCCTGTTCTCCCCACTCTCTCTTAATCTATATAAGTAAGCACGTTCCCATGAAGCCGCTTAAAGACTCTGGAGCCATTGACAGCTCTGCCCGCCCCCCATGCTTCCTCAGCCACCCCTCGGCGCTGCAGATCAAGCCTGGGGATTTGGCTCAGTGGTAGAACGCTTGCCTAGCAAGCTAGAGGCCCTGGGTTTGGTCCTTGGCACCAAAACCAAAACATAAACCTCCTCTAAAAAACAATTCAAACAAAAAAAAATACAGTAAAATCAGTGCTGCAGACAATGTCAGGAGTGTGCAGATTAGGGAGCCACCAGTGGGCCCCCGTCAGAAAGCCCTCGTTCTCAGGGGACCCCTCTTCAACTCCTCTCACACCCATGCATTCATCAGACACTGCCTGAGCCGCTGCTGCAGGCCAGGTATTATGGCCTTGGTCCCCATGGGGCTCTATTAGAAAGGTGGGGGCGGTGCTAAATAATCCAAGGAATGAGCGCAAGACCATTGTGGGTTTGCCAGAGAGGGCAGATGGCCCAAGAAGGTGCTGTGACACAGCAAGGGGCATCAGGGTCAAGGCAGAGATAGGGAGAGCCAGGGGCCTGATGGGTGGCAAATGGCACATACAGGAGTGCAGCATGACAGTAGGGCTCGGCATGTGGCCCCAGCCAGGCAAGGCTGCTGTTTCTCCCCAGCAGCAGAGTATGGGAGTGGCAGGGATCTGACTTTCTGGTTGGCAGCCTGGCGCCAAATCTGCCTCTGCTCCTTTTCAGGCAGCGGCCCTCGGAGTTAGACGGCGCTCATTCCTAATGTGCTGCACAGTTGCCGCCTCTCTACCTGAGGAGGAGGGGGTACGGGGGGGGGGGACCCAACAGTCAGCAGACTGACTCGCTCTCCTTTCTTCTGTCTCCTGAACCCTCTAGGTAGACCGCAGTCTGCAGACAGAAGCAGCCTGTTCTCAGCAGGATCCACTGAGGTTAGGTCAAGAGCGACTTCCGGATCATCAGAGGTCACTGGCACCTTGGGGACTCGGGGGGGGGGGGGGGGAGGCAGGACCTGCAGAGCTGAGTGCTCTTTGAAACTCTCATCCCCGAAGGTTGGGATTCGGATGCCAGAGCAGCCAGTCTGAGGCAGCGGCCTGCTGCCGCGCTCCAGGCTGCCCACGGAGCGGAAGACAAGCACCCTGTGCGCTGGAGGCCAAGTTCCCCAGCAGCAGCGTGAGGTCACTCTTGCGGAGCAGCGGAGCTGTGCAGAGGAGTCAGACCCCTTAGTACCACAAGCGAGCAGACAGCTCCCAGGCGCGAGCAGAGGCGGTGCCGTCACCAGTGCCCGGGCTCCGTGCACCGGTCGCTCCCGCAGGGCAGGGCAGGCTTGCTTTCTCCCTTAATGCGCATCAATTCATCCTCAGGCAGAGCGGGCCTTGCCTTGCCGTGGGGCCCTGCACACGGAGCGGAGCGCGGCACAGCAGCACTGAGTCCCGTCGCGTCCGGTGCACCGCGACCTTGCAGGCTGCACTGGGGCGGCCTGTCTGCCAGGGCTGACGGCCACCCGCATTCAGGATCTGGGTCTGCAGGGCACTGAGCGGAAGGAGACACGACCGGGCGGCGCTCTGAAGCCAGCCGTGTATTCTTTAGCTCCAGTTCTTCACCCCAAATTTAAAGGAATTAAAGCATGACGAGACCAAGCTACTTCCCTGCTTTATTTTTATCAAAGCCAGGGAGAAGCCTAGCCGGGACATCCTGTTTGTAATTAACACAAAGAGTCCTAGTCCTGTCTCTGGGTAAGCGCGGGGTTTGGGGCCTGAGAGCCCCGCACCTCCAGAAGAGACAGGGCCGCTGCCACCTCCCTTGGGGCGCATACATATTCTTTTGTCACTGAAGGAACAACGTGTTGGGAACCTGGAGCAGGAGGCCCCAAGTCTGAGCTGACACGGGTCGTGGGATTCACTGAGGCCAGCTCCAAGAGGGAACGCTACGTATTTTCTCTGACGGAAACCAGATGGACGCTTTCACCAGAGAGCGTAGGGTCTCCCAGCCGGAACCGGACCTTCAAGACTGACTGACTGACTGACGGCGGACTCAGGGCCAAAGCAGCAGAGCAGCCTGGGCTGCATTTACATTGTACACATGAAAGCCAGCCCCTGCTTTGAGGATTTGTATGCCAGCACGAAAAGCTGCAAGGAGATCATCTGCGTGTCCGGAACGGCGTAGGTACCTTCTCACTCAGAGCCAGCAGAATGAGTTCAGTTGATAATCTTTGTGATTTCATAGTGTTCTACTGAGGTACGTTAAATGTCAGTATCTGGGGCAGTGAACAGGGCTCCCACTCCTTGTCAACCAAAACAGTCCCATTCTTAGAGTAAGTTTCATATAAGGTTCTATTAGGAAAAATCACCCTGGCCTTTTGCTGCTAAAATTAGAGTTTGGATCCACGGAACTATTTAGCGTGCTGTTCATTCGAGACACTGCCGTCTTGGGAGACACCAAGCCCAAGACTTGCACACTGACTCATCCTCCGTGCAACGGCTCATTGTCTCAGAGAACCCAGCACTGAATCCTGTCACTAGAGAGTCGTAGAAGCTCAAAGCGGCCTCACCGTGGGAGAGTGCTCTTCTGTCAGAGGGATCGGAAGGCAGAGTCGTGACTGGCTGCTCTGAGGAAGGGCATGTGTGGAAATGAAGACACAGCGCCCGGGTGGGCTACCTCTGAGGGTGCCATCGCAGAGGTTTCCCACACAGCTCTTTCCAAAATAGCTCGGTCTTTGAAGATGTTGTGAGACCAGAGAGAGCTCAGCACAAAAAGGCCCAGAGTGCTTTCCCTGTTTGAGTACCACAATGCACTGGGTGTATTAGAGGCAGGGAACTCTGGCCAAGACACCATTGGATTCTTCTGACCAGCAACACACCTATGAGCCCTATGAACCCATGAACCCATAAACCTATGAGTCCTATGAA